TGCGCTCTAAGGCTAGATAAAAATACTTTTAAAAATTTTTATTTTATTATTCTCTATATGAATATGATGTTAACAGTTTCAGAATATTTTTATGAATCTAATGCTTAGTTTGAATTTCGATTGGCACCATTAACTACTCGCGCATGCTTAATTTACCGAGTAAGTAATATATTTGAAAATAGGGAAGTCTCTACGGATTTGTATTTACATTATGATAAGTAATAAAACAATCAAAATTGAAAGATTAAATACTAATACATTTAATTTTAATTACTCATGCATCTTATATTACTTAATAGGTATAAAAATTTAATTATATTTGACTACATATTTTCTTTCCACACGTGAATTCAAAAAAAATTTAAAAAAAAAAAATACATACTGCGACATAAGAATTTTTTGCATACAGTAGACCTAGCCGCAATTCGATATTTAGATATTCGTTAACATCGATATTAAATGAAAACATCGAACAGACGAACACCATTTAAGTATAGATTACCTACTGTTTTCACTGGATAATAATTTATATGACACTCTTATTGAACTTACCCGGTAAATCCCAGCATCGAAATAGGATAAAAGGAAAGCTGCTATTAAAACTTTTATTTTTACAAGATGTTGCCTTTAAAATGATGGTTTTACTTTTTTTATTTTTTTGAATTTTCTGTTGAAAAATTGGATTATACTGTTTAACGTTCTATTATAACCAAACTTTTCAAGCCCATCAGTTGAAAGAGTTTTTTTTTCTGTAATCGTTGACTCCTTTTTTCACCTTTCTGTGTCCAGTAATAATCGAGAAAAGCGTATTCAAACTTTGAAGAAAATTGCTAAAAAATACTGAAATCTAATAGTGAAACGTGTTCCTCATCATTGTCGCTTAGCTTGATCGTTATCGCATTAGTGACGTCAAATCTCATGAACGTACGGTAGGGTCAGTTAGTTCGCTTGAATCAGAATCCATTTTAGTTCTTTCATTCTTGTATTTTCTGTATCAACTTGCTTAGTTTTTACAGTTTACAGTATTCTTATTTATTTTAAAAACATTGAAATTATTTAGTTTACGGGTATGTTTAAGTAATATATTATTAGTTTAGTGGTATAAGTTAAAAGTTCTTTAGTTTACGCGTATTTTTAAGTATTACATTAGGTTAGTGATATAAGTTATAAGAGACAAGATAAAGAATGAGTCCCAGTAAACGTCCTAGGTCAAGGAAAAGGAGAGCAATTGCACTGCAGTAAGTATTAATTATTTATATATTTACAACCGTATATATATATATATATATATATATATATATATTATATATATATATATATATATATATATAGCGTTGATTACGTTCTTCACAAACACCGTTGTTTGTTTTATTTTAAAAATATTATAATAGTTTATCTTCAGTAAGTTCGTATCTTTTTCCTAGAATAATTTTGTTTCTTTCTCATATTTTTAGGAACTTAAAAATCAAAAAAGCTACTATAAACAAAAGTTCTTCATCAAATAGTTCATTCCATCAAGAATTAGCAGAAACATCTACTTTACCTAGTTGTAGTGTCGATTCGTAAGTAACCCTTTTTACTTTTTTTTTATTTACTTACCGTAAAGTAAGTAAATAGAGGGTTCATGACCTTACATATTATTTGTTTATGGTCAAAATATTACCAATGTTTTACTCTTAAATAATAATAATAACAAATAATATCATTTGCAGAAAATACTTTAAATTTATCGTTATTTCTAGTAATAGCTGTCATTCTCAGTCAGTTGAGATTGCCTCTCCGCAAAAACCATCTTTTTCGGTAGAAGGCAGAAGAATAGTGGACATAAACTTTTTCATTAAATCTATTCAAGGTTTGAATAATCATTCTCCATTTTCATGCAACTTTTCTAATATGGAGATTATCAAAGAAAAAATGGACGGATTGATAAGTACATTGACTTTTAAATGTCAAATGTGGAATATTGAAAAGGAGATAGCAACATAGGATTCTGGTAACAATTCACTGAACTTGAATGGTTCTGGTTATTCAGACATACAGCAGCAGCACGCTGCATTAAATATACCTGTGATGTCCTACAGGCAGTATGCAAAACATACGGAGACAGTTGCAGATATCATCGGCCAAACACTTTGTGATTCCTTAGAAGAGGCTGGACGGGAGGAATTAGCTTTAGCCAAAGAAATTGGTGAAGTAGATTCCGACGGAAATGGGTTAATAACCGTTATAGCTGATGGTGCTTGGTCAAAAAGATCGTATAAAGTAAACTACGATGCTTCTTCAGGTGTAGTACCTGACGTTGTAAAATTTATTAAATTAGTACGCCTTTGATGGATAGGACATGTAATTAGGCGAGATGAAGATGAAACGATCAGAAAAATTTTCGACCGAAGAGGACCAGTGGGAAGACGATCCAGAGGAAGACCAAAACTTAGGTATCAAGATAACATAGAGGATGATCTAAAATCCATCGGAGTTAAAGCATGGAGAAAGTTGCCAGAGGCAGGGGCGAATGGAAGATTGTTCTGAAGAAGCCTTTGGCTCATGACGAGCTGTAATGCCACTGATGATGATGAAATAACTATCCACGATTTGTGTTTTATTCATCAATTGAATACTTTTCTTATGTAACTGCAACCTATAAATATATTAAAATAATGTATATTCCATTCAGAGAACTTTTTCCTCGCAGTGCGTCGCCTCGAAATACTTGCCAGATAAATACATTTACTATTATGATGGTTTCGCAGGTACCAATTTTTTATAGATAAATAAAAATATTTTTTGTTTAATTTTTACTACGCTAATATCAGTTTTCTCTAACATAAATAACTTCTGAATAATTTTCAAGCTATAACTGCGAAATTGTTTATTTGTTTGTGACAACAAATTGTAATTTTTTTGATAATAATATTCTTATGTTATTTTAAATTTATTATAAATAAACACCATGGTGTTTTTTGCAGTCACGTTTCACAAATTTTTATTTAATACTATGTTTAGCTGAGACATATAAATTAAAAATGTGATTAATTCTTTTTAAAACATTATCTACGATAATCAATCTAAAAAAAGTATTCCGACAAAACTAATTTGAATGGAGAATAATGCATTTATTATCATTAAACAATCTGTGGGCCAGCGCCACTGAATAAACATCACTGCAGATTTCAAATTAGGAAGTCACGTAGGGTCTGACATAAGCAGTGTAGAAAAGTAAGTGATACGCCCACTTCAAATCGCAGTATGCTAGAACTGCGAAAACAGCCTTAAGAATAAGCATTATTGGGGCTTATAATTTTAATATATTACTTTTTTTTTTTTAATTTGGTTGTGTTTAAGTCATCTATCAAGAGATAATTTTTAATTGTTTAACATTAGAGCTGGATGAAAGAAACATTGTGAACATAACGTTGAGAGGAGTGGTAGAATGGAGAGAAGTACACTGTCTGATTTCTGTAGTGATGAAGAAAAAGGAGCAGGAGGACAGAAGAGGAAATTGAGCCAGGGATCTGAAATTTATAGTTAATATTATTTATTAGTTTATGGCCTAACGTCTAAACATTTTCTGATTTACGGTAATAAGTATAGTTATTTATAAATTTTTAGTTTTTTATCGAGTGGCAATACCACCTCTCTGGAACGGTAGTTAAGGTTAATCCGGCACTACCCTAGGGTCTTCTGGCCTATCCTACTCGGCTGAAAGATGCAAGGGTGTCTTGTTCCGTGACGTAGATGTCCAAAAAAGATTTCCTCCACCGTTGCCTGTCAGAATTCAATGGATACTTCTTATAGACTCAATGGATAGGCTCTTCAAAAACCATTAGGTTAAGGTTACATACACTGTTACACCACGTTTTTTAGGTGACTTATCTCTGACATTCTGCTTATACCTGTTGTGTATTTAGGCCAGTAAAACACAGATTTACACTAAACAACAGTTCTTTATTATAGACTTAACATGAGGTATCTTTTTTAATGTCGTGTCTCATGACAAGTGACAAGTCATAAGTAAGACATATAACAATAGCAAGTGACATGACATGAGTCAGACATACAACATATACAACAATACCATTCTCTTTTTTTTTTTCAATTTTGTGTCCATTCATTTGTACATTGTATTTTACATGGATGTTTCTATAACATCGATGTTTTCTTTTCATATCGTTACCATCGATGTTTATAACTGATGTCGCATCCCTAGTTGTAAGGCTAGATTATCCTAGACTCAAAATACGCATTTCGTCTAGAAGTCAACGTCAGCCCACGGGCCGGTGTGACAGTCGGGCACATAATAAATAACAATCAGATTGCCCACTCTCAGATGCCGTCTTTGAAGTGTGTCAGCTCGCGATCGCTATATTTTAAACGGAAACATAGACTTGGATTGAGAAATTTGTGACAAGCCACGACAGAACTGTAATTTAAATTTTTAGAGATTAATAATTTAGTAAATTTGAAATAATTTAATCTATTCTTCAACTAAAAGTACGAATAAAATAGTGCACCTTATGTCTATGGTTGCCGTAAATAAAATTAAACCGGGTTAATTTTTCTATGCACAGTAGATAAAATTTCACTGAGCAACACTGGTTCGGTTTACAACATGGATGATTACATCTGTGCTAACAAGATGCGCGTACTTATCTTGACAAGCAGAGTGGGCATTCTGATTGTTTATTATTCTGCGATCCGGGCTTGAGAATAAGTGGAATGCGGAGACGGCAGGAAATTGTCCATCTGATTTTTCAACACAATTTGTAGGGTAAATGGAAACTACAGAATTGATGAAACATAATTATGATGAATTATTCCCAAAACGGAATGCAAAAATATCTAAGGAATTGGAAGATGCTCAAAAGACAATTTTTCAAAGGAAGAAGAATAGAAATTTCTCGACCCATTTAGGTACAAATTATTGAAGTACTTAGATAGAAAAATAAAAAACAAAAAATGAAAGCGAGGAAACTATATTTTTTATCAATAAGCCTTATCTTTTAAGATATCCAATAGGAACTAAATCCATCATAATTCATATAAATAAAAGACAAAAAAACAATCATCACCATCATCTTTTGCTTGACAATCCTTTGTGTATCCTGACCTGCACCAAGATTCCTCGCCATTCTGTTGGATAGTGACGTTCGCCATGGTCTGATTTTTAATATCCCTAAAACATAAAATAATATAAAAATAAATAACAAAATTATACATATAAAATTTAATACTATGCCTACTTATAAACACACAAAAATATGCAAGAGCTAAATAAAATATCTGATTACAAAATTGGATGTAAGAATATAACTGATAAATCATAAAAATTTGATTAAGTGCTGGATTACACTACATTATTATGTGTAAAGTTAATAACAATTTGGGTAGATGTGGAAACAGTATTTGAAAATTAAAATTAATATAATTATTGCTCCAGAAATGAGTACCTTAAAAAAGAATGCTAAGGAATGAGTTGAAGTATATAATTCTTAAAAGACACAAAATTATTATTAATGTACTTAATGTCACAATAAATGTTGTGTTCATCAGATGCATATATAGATACAAATATTATAATATAAACTATTATTTATATTTATTAAAATGGCAAGTGTATTAAAAGGCAAACTTTGGGATCTCAAGCACGAGAAATAATGTTCAATGCTTTTAAGTTTACAACCGAAGCAGCTAATGCAGATAAAGTCTTAGTTGATTTAAAAAAAATACAAGAACGTGTAGCTCAATTAACTGGTAATTATAATACTCATTTTCAAAATAAATTCAGATTTAAATAATTTAAGTTAATCAATAAAATTATAATCAATAAATAAATAAAAACTTACAGAACAAAAAAATACCAGTAAATAATAAGTAAACAATGGATCAGTTAATTAGTACTTTACAGTTCACTATTATTGATAATACAACATATATCTGTAGAACAAGCTAATTATTTCAAAAATTAAATAACAGTTCTTCATGTTAAAATTTACATTATCGCAATTGGTTATACACATGTGAAATAGAAATGACATAAAAATTGAAATGTGTTTCTCCAATATGTTTATTTACTACATATATGCTGGACACTTTAATTATACATTTGAATACATTACATTTTTCATAAATGGGAAACAAAATATGATATTGTAAGCAATAACATCACAAGATAAAAGGCCGAAAATACTTGAGTTTACCCTATGGCTTAGAAAAATAAACAAAGAATGTATGTTCTGTGTTGTGTTTAGTTTAGTAATCATTAAGACACACAAGTTGCATCAGTCCGCGATACATACAAAAATATATGTTTTATGAAAATAAATATTATTAACAAATTTTTTCTACGTTTTATTCAATATTATTATTATTTTTATTTTGTTTTCGTGGTAAATAAGTTTATAAAAACACGCATCCACACAACCACAGAACATATCTATTAAGGTAATTTTCAGATCCCAACTAAATTTTTGATACGGCAACTACGCACTTGTGACACCCGCGATTAAGTACCTCTCCTATCTCTCTTAGAATAATTCCTTTTCTATTTTCGCACAGCTCACCCGCCAGCTCTCGCTTGTCAGATAATATGTACATAAATTCTGGGAAGATACAAGTGATAATTAAAATAATGTCAAAAAGAATATAACATAACAATACTTACCATATAAGTCCATTCTTTTAAGTTCTGATTTATAGCAAATCACCAACATTCTAAAACTAATATTGTCTTATATATATTGCAGCACTGGGTGTTATGATTGTTTTATTGGGTACCACCACTGGTTTATCAAACAAATCATCCTGCAGCTTTCATTTTCCATTTTTTTAAAGCAATAAACTTTAAAATGGCCTGGGGTGTAAGCTACCTCCTCTCAAGCTAAAAATATAAAAATTGCTTCAGTGAAATATGTGATGTTAAATAGTTGTTTATTAATTGATTAGTTGGTTGCTTAGACATTTTAGTTGTAGCTGTATATTTTTGTTTTTATTGTGGAATAGGAAATAACACAATGGCAAAATTGAAACTGCTTTCGTTTGACCATTAAAATTTTCAGTTCTAAAGACATTTTCAAAATAAACACACAGTTTTTTTATAGTTAATAATTTTTTTCAATTTTTTATACACAGTTTCTAAAATTACAAAACACCTTTGATCTATGAAATTAAATTGCCAATAAAGAAGTTCCAATTTTAAAATATGTATTGCTAAATTCCATTATACAATAGTTACAATATTAAAATATTACAAAAATATATTATGAAAACAAATTATTCATTACCTGAATTGATAATTATTAGCTACAAATGTGGCTGCCTTTTCGAAGTCTTCTAAACTGCAGGTAATTCATTTTAAAATTCTTCCTCAACTGTACCTCCACATATATGTGATGGGTATATACCCTGTTAACTCCACAAACTTGATGACAATGGTGGCAAGAAGATTGAAAAATTGTGGATGATTTCCTAAGAAGCATAGCCAAGTTCACCTAAATTTTTGTTGATCTGTGACACATATTGTTAGTATATTGGTGGAATAAGTGTCACAATTCACACAAAAATATGTGTCAAACCCACTAGGATAATCTTGAAAACATGTACTCCAAATTGGGGCAGCTGAATCATACAAATTTAATTGATGGGGGAAAAGCTGGCATTTGTTGTCATATGCAGTAGATCCTTTTTTGTTCGTAAAGATGGATGTTGTATAATAATAATAATTTATAGATCGAGTCCATCATTAAAGCTTTCATGAATTTCAAAATAAATATCACTGTTTTTGATGGACTGTTCACAGAAAGCGTGATAAGCTGGATCATTTACTGCCACTGTTGCCAAAATTTGAAAGATTGAATCAAAGGGGCATATATTTTGGATGTCTTTTATCAGCACTGCTCTCATATTGTTGCCATTACATTGGTTTTATCTGGCATACTTTTATCTTCTGGTGTGCTTACTTGTGATTCAGTTTTTATTTCAACATTTCAGAACACATTTAACAAATGATTATTTAAAATAACTGATCCCCTTGATAATCTTGAAAATAAATTTTTTGGAATTTGTTAACTCTTATTTGATTTTTATAATTTGATAAAACCTGATTTTATTTGTCATTTAAATATGGTTTTATATGACTAGTTGTTGCATGCCCTTGTTTATCTGGTAGACAAGCTGCAGACCACAGAGGGAATTCTACTATAACTGTTTTAAAAAAAGTGTCTATGAACTTTATTGTAAAATCCATTGCCTCCACACCTTTCTCATCTATGTCTACAGCCTATTCTTGGATGTTGTTTATCCATGATTTAATGGCAGTGCTCATTTCATAGTTTAAAAACTTGACATCGTTCATGTTAATATCTTCTGACTTGATCAATGATGTGTCAGTACTAGTATAAGAGTGATCACTGATCATTGCTTTAATCCATGCCTAATCTCTTTAACACTCTTATGGTTCCATAAAATCGAATCACTGTAATTGGTTTAAACAGACTGAACATAGCATTTTTAATATTATTTTAAAATCATTTAATATCATCAATTAACAAGGATAAGCAGAGTACATGAAATTGTCAGGTTTTTTCATTTTGTACTGCTTTTAGAGAGGACCAGTTGGCGATGATTTTGATGAAATGGGTAACATCTAATATAACATATGTTGCAACTGCTAGATGCATTCTCATTGTTGTATCGCCAGTTGCATTCAAAAAAAGTGTTTCGATGTATGTTTTTATATTTTGCTCATTAAAGGCCAACGAGATTGCATTGATTAAAGAACTAGAGTAATTGCAGGTTACTTCGTCTAGCTTTGGAGCTCCCATCCCAATCCAATTTTTCAACCACAACTTGAGCAATTTTTCAACCATACTTTGGTCATCAGTTAGTTGTTGATATACTGCTAAAGAAATATTGTTAAAATTAATAAGCAATGCATAAAGAAAGATATGACCACTTGTATGATCATTTTCATCTATTTTTTTTTAATATATGCTTCCTGTTCCATCAATTTCAACAGATCATTTTTCCTTTTTTTAATTTCATTATATGGTGATATCTCTTATAAGCATGTAATTGTATATTAGAGCCATAGAAAACATCAAATTTATCTTTCTTTATGTCTTGAATAAAGTTACTGTATTTATGACTGTATCTCATGTTTTCAATAAATTTGATAACATTCTTTTTGTTGTGTTTTTCAATGTTAAGTCTCTTATCTCCAAACTCATTGACACATTTACGAACTACAGGTGCAGAAGGCATGGTCAGAGGTGTATGTCGGGTATGCAATGTTTGTAGCTCACTCTTAAGCCAATTATTCGGTCCAAGAGCAGCAGATTCTTGACTAATTCTTACGCGCTTGGTCTTTCTGGTAGGTATTCTTGCATCTTCATGGTTTACATGAGATAGTGTGTCCCTGCATCCAACATGTAAGATAGCAGGAAAAGTATTCAGTTTAGAATCCAAAAATCCATAGAACTGGTTATTACATTTTTTGCTCTTGCATATGTGCCTCTTGTTATCAAATGTTGAGCAGCATTTTCATCGTTGTAAACTTTAGTGTTTTAAAAATGCACACTGACACTAATTTTGTAGAATTGTATGTCCATGCATGTAGTCTGTCCATTTCAACCGTTTTAAAATATAACAATCGTGCCCTTATAATTTATTGCGTCATCTTCACAAATCTTGTGGTATAATTATTTGGATAAACTTACCTCGAAATCTTCAAAGTTTCGAAATTCCCAATCTCCATTGTCGTCATTTCCATCAACAGTTAAGGAGCACAGGGTTGAGGAGTGAGTTGAGGATTCAGATGGATATATGAGATCTTTACTGCCAAGCGTTGCGGCGATTTTCTTTGCAGTGCCTAAAGACATCTCTTGCATTCCATCTTTCTTCGAAATGTTGCCTAATTTCGTCCCAAATAGGCTGAGATGGCCCCGGCAGTAAATTTCGATCTTTTGGTCTCGCGTATGGCAGTAGTTTCCAAACATTGCTTGCAGTTCCATATATATTCATCTAGCCGGTCACTACGTTTAATTAAAGTCTTCTTATATTGCATAAACTGCACAAAATGCTGTTTTTTTATCAAATGACGCACTGCACACCACACTAAACAACCAAAAGTATTTGCAAAATTTAAATTAAATAATGTTACTCATTCTTCCCGCATTT